ATCTGGACATCTATTTTCACTATCAGGCTTATAAGAGCATTGCTTAGAGAACTCTTGGGGATTTTGCACAGATAGCACTTCTTGGGTCTCATGGTATGACAGATGTTTCTCAGCTCTCAAATAAAACCTGTAGCCCTTTGTAGCTCTAAATCCTGGAAGGTTTGCTTCCAGCCAGATCAGTCAGTTCTAAGACCACTGTTCAGAAGCAAAGTAACCAAGCCCTGTGCTGCTGTGCACATCTCAAAAGCCTCCTGGCATTCTTTGGGGAGAAATGGGATGTACCAACATCACATGTTTGGATCACATTCCCAAGTCAGTGAGTAGTCAGCTTTTTATTTGATATTTCTATTAAGTCCTACCATGACCAAAGCCATCTGCTAGTTGAGTTTGGTGCTGCTCCTGGTTACACGTTGAAGGTGCTGCTCTGAAAACATCTATGGTTGTGGTCCCCTTTGCTTGTTTGTTTGGCTCAGTATTGTATAACTACACATTTTATCTACAAGAGGGCTAGTGCAAGGGGAGCAGGAAGACCTGCCACACCATGGCTAGAGGAGATTCAGGACTTGGATAGAGAAAGCCCTAACCGTGAGCCGCTGCTAGCCTCAGAGCAATGTTGCCCATGCCTCACCTCCTCTTCCAGTTTGATGACCTTGGCTTGAGCATTGTTTAGGGCCTGGTCGAGGATTTCGATGTGCCTCCGCTGGTCCTCATTGGCAGAGCGCACAGCTGCCAGCTCCATCTCCAACTTCTCCTTCTCCTTCAAGTGCTCTTTGTCTGGAAGAAAGACAGAACAAGAGCCGCTCCAGGAGGACAGCTCACAGGCCCTGGGTCACGCTCAGAGGTAAGGTTCCACATCCCTAGAAAAGCAAAAATTACGCGAAACAGCAGCAAGTGGGGCCATTGCAACACAGTGCCAAGACCCAGCAGGCAAGGAATTTCTGCTGCCAAGGCTCAGCTCCTCAATGCCCAGCCCTACATGAGCACCAGCAGCAGAAACGAGTGGCAGCTTGGGCTGCATCTGCACCAGCAGAGTTCGTGGACCTGAGCACTTCCTCATAATTGTCCATTCTGCTGAGGACATTCCCTAGCAAAATTTTGGCTTGCACCAGCTATTCCTTTCCCACGCAATGGCCAGGCCCTGCTGGAGGACAGCCTATGTCAAGGAGTGTTTATAGCTGCCAGCTTGGATGCTGCTGCACTTCTCTAAGGGACAAGAAACCTCAGCCATGTGGATGCCAGCTGTGCCATGCCCGTTCCATTTTATTTGCAAGGATGGAGATCATGAGACACAGTGAAGAAGCCAAATAATAAACACAGAACTGTGCTGGATAGCTTGAAAACAGAAAGAGGGGTAAGCAATAATGCAGAATAAGATAGGAGGCATCTGAACAGGCTTTCTCTGGCTGTACAGAGAAAGGAGAGCCTGTGGGAGGCATTCCAACCCTGTGGGGGCCCTGGGTGACTTTCCAGTCATTCTCTAAGGGTGCAGTGACAGGTGCTTCTCCCTTATTAAGTGCCTTAAAGCACCAGGAGAGAAACCAAAACATGTAGATAACCTCTGTGCTGAAAAATCATCTCTTTTTTTGGATAAGGTTTAAAATGACATTGAAAAAAACCACAACTGGCTAAATTCAGTCAGCTTTGCTCACATCTTTTTCTTTGGCAACAAATTGCAGGCCCACCATTGACTTCATTGGCAAGTGGCCTCGGGAAAGGCTCAGCTCCATCCACCTCTGCCCTGACACTGCTGAGAAGCCATTTCAGGGAACACGAGCATCACATGCCAATCACTGGATCCCCAAGATCGGACCACAAACAGTTAATGATTGGAGGGAGCAGGGGATGGAGGGGATTCAGTGAAATCTGAGATTTTAAAATCTGGCCTTCATTCTGAATGACAACAAAAATAGAGCCCGTGGCAAGCCTCCAGGAAGGAAATTTCCTCCAAAAATTAATTTGGCATCAATTAAACATTGTTTGATTTTTTACTTTTTAAACACAGCATTACATAATTTATTATTTTTTAACTGAAGTTAAAAGTTGCTCCAAAAACATCAAAACGTGGAAAATCTGCCCCTAATATCCAGCCTGTCCCACCCAGGCATCACCAGTCAAGCTGGAAGCCCCACCACCATCCACCTCCCCCCAAGGAGGGTCAGGAAACTTCACATGGCCAAACCCAGCCCATTTCAGACCTGAACTACCCCCAGAAGGGCCTTATTCTTCCTTAATTACAGATGGGATGAGAACAGGTTTAATTTACACACTATCAGCAGGTGCCTGCAGTGAGGTGAGATACATACAAGCTAAGCCATAAGCAACAAGGCACGAATGGCCGAGGTGAGTCCAAACCCACCTGGATGTCTTCCCATTTATCCTAAAAGGAGGAATTCAGCACCTCACAAAAACATTCCCTAGCAGCAACACTGGCACATCGCCTCTGCAAAGCCCACAAGCAAAGCCCAGTGAGCGCTGTGTGCACCGCACCACCGACTGCCACCACGATGCATCTTGGTATGACATGCCTTTAACCTTCCCACGTCAGCAAGAAATTTTATATTGGACATGCAGGTCTCTTCCTTCAATGCAAAGACATTTACTTCAATCAGATTCACCAGAAGGAACATTAATATCTACTGTACAAAAGTGTAAATCTGGGCAAATTATCAAGCGGCTAATTTCATTAGAGGGTGAAGAAGCTGGAAGATGAATGCTATTTCAGCCCTGTAGCACTTCACTGTCTCATGCTGGGACCACATTTGCTGTGCTCCAGATTTGAAACCCATATTATAGGAGGACAGCACATAGAAAAACAGGACTTGGGACCTTCACTTTCAACTTTCATCCAAGGAACTCGAAGCACTCAGCTTGCTCTGCTGCATTATGTTTTCTATCCCCCCCCTAAAAGGAGGACAAAATTACGCTATACACAAAATGACCACTGAACCCAATAGGAAGCTGAAAAGAAAAATTTACTTCACAGCTTTCAACACTTCTCCACATCATATTCTCCCTGCAAAATGCTGGAGGCACATTTCAGAAGTACTTTCCTATATTGTATTAGTTTTTAGTAAAGGTCTTTGTTGAACATATCTTAAATTCTCTTCAAGTACATACAGGTATCCTTAAAGTCTAAAAATACTGTTTTACTGTGCTACAATTGCACGTACCTTCTGCCCAGGCATGTGCTTTTTACCTAATAGACTCCATCTAATAACTATTTCTAGTTTCTGGTGGGTCACTGCTACGTCCCCTTACTGAACAGTCCCCAAAAGGCTTCTCTGCTGTAGTTTGCAGCTGTAATCTCACAGCTTTCCACCCACTGTCTCTGACTGTTGTACCTCAACATGGTGAGGACATTACATCGGTGCTCTGTGGCTGGATAGAAGAAAGAAGAGACAAAGCCAAGAGCCTGCTTTGGTGCTTCGCAAACAGGTGGGTAGGTGCCCCAAGAGTAGACCAGTCTTGACCCTGCTTTGAAGCAGAAATATTAGAAAGATACAATCAATCACTGGACACCTTCACTACACTCAGATATGACCTCCAGCTTTTCACATAGACTTCATGCTTAACAGAAGGTTTAGATCTGATCAGTCTTGAAGGAAAAACAAGAAATATGTTTTTAACGTACCATTTAGCTATATCAGTTGAACGCGTGCCCCCAAAGCCACTCAACTAAACACTACATTATAGATAACACAGGTCCACCCGGTATGCTTCGTGAGGAGCAACTGCGTTAACCCCTGTGTCCTGACCAAACGCCAACACAGCTCATTGCAATCTTCTTCTCCTGCCGTTTTGCTCACAAATGGCAGATTCTCAACAGCTCTCTGGAGTTTAGACGACGCCAGCACCAAGAAAAGGCTGAGACGCTGCAAGAGCTCATCCTCGAGGTCCTTGAGCCCATTTTCTCACATGGTGTTTAACAGGTATTCTGCACTGGCATTAATAGTTATGATCAATTGTAACATACTTAATAAATGGTTCGGTACATGGTTACTTGTGGTCACCAACCTAAGCAGGGACGCAGAAAGGTTCGATGCTGTGTTGTCAGAGGAAGACACTGAATCTCCATAAAAACTTGTGATGGCTTTCCTTACCCTATAAAGTATCGCAGGCATCTTAAGCATGGTCTGACTTACAGCTAGGACGTTTCCATCTGCACACCATGAAGTACAAGTCAGGGGAGAATTTGATGTTCACATGTTGAAAACTGAAATCAGACTTCCCACTCCCCTTCCTTTCGGAGGGCAGGGCGAAGTCACGCAGAACAGATGCATTCTTCTATATGACACTGTTTCTTCAGGATGCTGCTCCCTGCGCAGGTGCCCTTGGCTCTGGGTGCAGGGGGCAGTGGCTCCCCACCTCCCCACATGCAGGTCATGGCTGTGAAATGAGAGGGCAAGGAGCTCCCTTTCATTTGCCCCTGAAACTTCTGCCTCTGCCCAGATTATTTCCTGTCTTAATACCAAATGGCTCTTAATCTGCACAAACCCCCACTCTCAAAAACATCTACTGTGAGCATTTTCTTTGGTTGGATTCATTCCATGGGAATATTTCTTTGTCTGGGATATTTGGGACAGAGATATATGCACAAGTCGTATGTGGCACATCCACTGCATGCTCCCACAAAGCATGAGGCTCTACCAACACACTGACAAAACTGCCTGTGCATCTCCACTAATGGGTGCAGAGCCATGTGGATGGGCACAGACCTCGATGAACCTCAGACACCTGAAAAAACAGCCCCTTGGAGGAACCCTTGCTCTGACAGATTGTCTGTATGTCCAGAAATCCCAGAAAAACACACAAAATTCTCAAACTCCACCAAAACAATTTTTTTTTTCCAGTGATATGCTGTATTGTAAGCTTTCTCTCTGCCCTATGACCTTGAAACCATCCTCAGTCGTCTTGCCTCTCCCTTTCCACAGCATCTCTCAGCCTCCTTCTGCCTGGCTCTTCTCTTGCCTGTATGGGCCTATATGTCTTCATCAGTCACTGCTTCATGTCTTTCCTTAAACGAACCTTTTTCACTGACAACACATCGCATAATTATCATGAAACTAACAAGTTGTGAGTTCTCTCCCACCCCAATACAACAGTAGCATTTTTCTTAGGCACAAATGCCCAGCACTTAATACTTTCAGGCATGCAGACCAGCTTTGCCTATTATTATTACAAAGAATAAGAGTTTTTGTCACCTCCGGTCTCCATCTCAGAGCGCATGACCGCTCTGAACTGTTACACTGCGGGGAACTGAGCAATGATCCCTGCATATCCTGCTTTGCCAGACTTCTTTTTCAGGGAGTTTTTCCTATTACTGGAGTTTTACCACAGCGTTCATTCTGCATTTGCATTATTACCAAGGATGAGCATTAAAAAACCTCAAGAGTTTTATCTTTCCTTCTTCATCTCATCATGAGACTGGCTTAAAAAAGATAACTTTTAGGAACCTGCTGATGTTGGAGTCTTTTTATATAACTTGCATTGGGGATGTTAAGGACATAGGGACTAGAATCCTACTTTTGCTTTCCTAATGAAAATGAAGATTTGCATTTACTAATCTGACTTAATAAGCTACTACCCTTAGGAAAAAAACAAACATGAGTTTCACAACAAAATTGCAATAGCTGATGGGAGCACATGTAGGCACCATTCTTCTTCTGAAAATGACTATTTCAGTCTCAGTAGACGAGTGCACACACAACAGCTAAAACAAGCTGCACTCCTTCTCTCAGTTTTCTGCCAGAGCATCCCATCAAAAGACGTAAGGAGGGTACAGACCATGCTTGCAAAACCCCCAGGTTGGCTGTGGGGTGCAGCCCCAACTGTGGTCTGCCCCTGGGGAAGACTCACAAACATCAGGGTATAAATACAGCCAGCAACAAAGGATTTCCAAGCAAAACCTTTTATGGGCTTTCAGAGGGGTGTTTTAGGCTGACACCCTGATACTGAGGTCATTACTGTGCGTGCCCCAGCAGCCCAAAGAACATGACTGAAGAGGACCTGCTTTACATGTGCCCGTTTTTCTATTCTTGGAAGCACTCTGCATTGCTTTGGTAACATTTAGCTCTCTGGCCTAGCCAGGAGACACTCAAAGCATCCAGCCCGTCTTATGTGATAGGATCCAAAAAGCTATATTTGTTCGTAAGCTGTGAATTGATAGCAGTAAAATGCTGAGTGCACAGCACAAAGTTTTATTGCTAGATATTTATCAGTAGAAGCACAGAGTCTGTTTATGCACTGGAAAATGACTCAAATTGAGTCCATCCTGGGGATTTAACTCCCCTTTGTAGCTACCAGTATATGGTAGCACTGCCAGGCTGTCTATACGAAGACAGCAGACCCCAGTCTGCAATTTCCACTGTGCAACTTACCCTGTTTGAACTCTTCCCAAGGATGATAAGACTTACACAGCAATGCTATTTTCTCAACAGATCATCCTCTTGGATTTGCAGCAGTATCTACATGCCCTTATGGCATCTGCCAATACGGAAAGCTAACACAGTCACGGGAAAGATCATTAGACTGTCTTCTGATTTGTGCATACATGCACCAAATTATCAGTGAAGATGCCATGATGGCATTGTCACTGCTGGCGGGAGCTACGAGAAAGCTTTCCTGCATTTGGAGCAGCTGGTGGACGTTGTAGGGCTGGCAGTGAGGCACGCTGAGTTGTATCAAACACTGCACTGCTCATGAAGGTGGCCAGTTCTCCACCTAAGGATCTGCAGTTGCAACTCACCTTCCGAGGAAGCTCTTGGTGCAATAAATAAAACAGAAGGATCAGTTGTACACAGCATTCAGCTTCAATGGGATTTAAGCCCACAAGGTACTGCACAGCTCCCAGGTGGTCAAGCCCTTCTGGAAGCGTGCTGAAGACACTCAGGATACATGAGAAGCTACGCACTGTCGTGCAGCATCCAACTGCTCAGGTTTTGGTTTGGCTGGTCACACGGAGCTGTCAGAACATGGCAAGGAAATGCTGCAGCACTGTGCTCAGTCATCATGGGAGCCTAAAACTTGTTGGGAATGGACGTTTTCCACAGCAGTAGAAGTTGTAAAATCTTTGTCTCTTCCATTTTTTGTGAAAAGGAGGGTCCAGCTCTACTCTCCCTCCTGTTAGTCAGCCCCTGGCACTGACAAGTCAGCAGAGGTTGCTCTGGGCTTTTCCCAGCCAAGAGAAGAATCTGGCTTCTCTAAAAAGCATGCATCTCTAGAGATGATCCCCACAAGCAACACTTCACGATTTCAGACAAATATTTATCAAAAATAAGCTAAATTGTGCTATCATTAACTCCCACTGCCTGGTTCTGGTGCTCAGAGGGAAAAAAAACAGCCTGAACAATCCAGTCTGCAGCTTAAATAAGAGTATGTGCCGAATTAGCTGAGTAAAACAAAGCCATAAGGACAACAACAGTTAATAGAAAAGTATTCAGCTCCACTCCAGCACATATATGTGTGCATATATATATATATATATGCACCTTCAAAACAGATTAGCACAGTACTCACTCTGAGTGACATAAAGGCCCTCTGTTGACTTATCCTCATGCCCATCGAAGTCTCTGCTGGCTAGCTGCCTATTGGCTGTCTCCAGTCGTTCTGCAAAAAACAGGAAATACTTTAAGTATAAATATATGTATATAAAATTGTAGGCCAACCAAGAAAATAAGATGCATGCCAGCAGAGCAGTATAAATAGACTCTCTGAAGAAGAACATTAAAATGGAGGCTGACACATACATAAAAGATGAGGCCATTGACCTCTTCCATGAAGCTGCATTGTTCAGATTTAGAGAAACTGAGGAAAAAGCCCTGGGAAGGGCCTGCCTTCAGGTGCCCCCCTCCTCCAAAAAGACCATCCAGCCCCCTCGCACTGTTGCAAAAAGCATGAGCCAGCTTGTAGAAGGCATCTCACTGCCCAAAGACATATCAAAGTTCTCCTATCAGGTACCTGGACAGGTAATAGCTCAAAGTCATAGTCAAAAGCACTGTCTGAAGCTGACTCTCATATTCTGCCAGAGGGCTTCTTTGCAACTGGGAGGGTGATAGCAGTTTTGTCTTATGCCAATGAGCAAGGCCTGATTTCTCAAGAAGTGTATGTAAAACATGTGTGAACCCACTCCTTTAAAGCCTGCTACTCTGGAGGTTGTGAGAAGTGGAACACCATGCAACTGGGAGGAAAAAAAAACCACACAAGGAAGTATAACATACCACGGAGATCCCTGTTGAAGTCATGAAGTCTCCTAATTTCTCCTTCAAGTTTGTTTCTCATTGCTTTGTCCAGAGACTCCCTCTTAGTGGTGGTCTTGACCAGGCCCTCATAAGCTTCTGAAATCCTCTGAATCTCTATTTCAAACTGAAAGGAGAGAGAGCTCCCATTAAAGCCCGGCAGCAATGCATCCCATCCCAGCATTTCCCCAGCGTATTTCGATGGGGTGCACGGGTCAGGGCAATGCTCATGCTGAGTGCCACACTAGCCACCAGTTCTGCAATGACCAATCTCAATGGTGGAGGATGATGCAAAGCCCCAGTGGTGCTGGAGGATCCTGCAGTGGGGAGCAATTGCTGGACCCCTGCAAACACCGTGTGGGGCAGCTCCCGTGCGACAACACCCTGCAATACCCCGCTGGCAGCTCCCAAATGAGCTCAGGATGGCCTGGCATTGACATAAATGCTCAGTTGCCTTCATTCTACAACTGAGGTGGCTGCTTTAACCCCCGTCCAAGAGGAGAAGCAAAGGAAACGGCATATTTGTGTGGACTGTTTTCTTTCCTATAAAGGGTTTTAGGAGGCAAGATTTATTATTCTGACAGATCCTTAATCCAAAACCTAGCTCTAAGCCCTGCACGCCACCAGAAATACTTTAGGCTTGGCTCTGACCTCATATCAGTCTCAAACTATTGTGGTCCACTCCTTTCCATCCTTGACCGAAGACTGCTCTGTACAAAAAGAAACTGCAACAGACCAAGCCAGTTGTTTCGGGTTTTCAATCTTCTTAACTTCCACTCCTTGAAATCTGGCAAGCTGCAGGCAAAGCACGCAGAGGAAGACCTTAGCAGTGAACTTGCATCTTAAGACCCGAAGCCAAAAAAATGACAGAAGGATAGTCCCAGGCAGAGTCTTGCTGTTCAGGTCAATCCCATTCAGATCTTTTCATAAGCTAATGTCTTGTTAAGTGCTTTGCTGAAATCATTGCTGCAGGAATGATCAACACCAATGTGGAAATCTGCTCCTGCATGCCTAGCCCTTGTGTTTGTGGAGAAAAGCTTGATAATGTGCACAGGCTGGAAACCCAAGAGATATATATAGCCTCCCACATACCTTTCTAAATCTGGCACTTTTTTAGCCTCTTGAATCGAGGGTGGGATGGATTCGTGATTTGTGAAGCCAGGGTGTGAGCCCACCTCCACTTGCTGTGGAGGTAGGTCCCTCTCCAGGGCTCATTAAGTTTTAGGTGTAATTTGCCAGTTGCAGCACTTGCAGAAGAAAAGCTCCGGGGACACTGGTGCTGTCACCCTGCTGCCTGCACAGGAACCTGCAGCCAGGCTCCAGCAGCCTGGACCTGTGCTTCCCACAGCCCTGGGGCCACTCTGTCCAGATACATCCCATGGGTACACAGCACTTCCGAAACATATACCGAGGAAAACCCAGCAGAGCTGTTATGGGGAAACCCAGTTACTTTCCCCAATTTCTGCTTTCAGCTCGCTCAAGCACAAAAGCTGAAACAAGTGGTGATGTGCAAAACCCATGGTGTGGCCCCCGTGACACCAGCAGCTTTGGATTAGTACCTTGCTGGGTATCACATCACCTGTCTCACACTGGTGGTGATTTAACAACTCGCAGGTATTTCACACACATACAAGCTGCTCCCCTACATGCATGACATTAAAAGGAACCACATGTAGATTAGTTCTCAGCTGAGAATTCTCCACAGCCCCAAGAAGAGGATGACCTGTTGAACTGGCTGTGACACCCTTTCTTGGGTGAACTACAAATTTAGTCATATTATTCTGACTTTCCTATTTTATTTTTTTTTTTTCAAAGCAGGAGCTCCAGAAAGCCCCATTAAAAGCCCCATTACATTCTCCCTAACAACATCTAGAAAAGAAAGCAGGTCCTATTTCCCAACCCTGCTGATGCATGGCCAAAGAACAAGCATGTTGCCACTACGAGGACAGTACGCTTGGAGGAACGCTGCATAAATCCAAACCTGTTTGAAATTCAGACTGAACCTTACTGTGGTCCAAAAAAACTTAGTTTTATTTTTCCTCATATGCACGGCAACACAAGCCTGTACAAAGCGTCATCAAAAAGTCTGCACTTTTTTGAGAAAAGCTGTTTCATGTGAATTCTCCAGAATCAAAATGACATGTTGATTAGTTACTCCAATAACAGCATAGTTTCAGCTACTTGATTCTGTTAGAGTTTTTTCTTTAGATCAGCGTGACCTCTGCTAGCAAAAGTTTTCTCTTCCTATACCTAGTTAGAGGCTATATTCAAGCTATCTCGTGTTGCTCTTCTTGACCTTGACCATTTAAGCAGATTGAGCTTCTCTCTCCTTGAATTGAAAGTTTGGCTTTGCAAAAGTAATTTTTAAAGCACTTTCCTGAATTCTTAATGACATGATCCCAACCAGACCCCGCGTTCAATTGGGTGCCCTGACACCTGATGGTTCCCACACCTCCCCTTTCCCGTGTGAGCTGCTATCTGCAGAAGATGCCTGCTCCAGAGAGCTCCTACCACAGTGAAGCATGTTTGCCAACACGGCAGGGGGTTTCCACAGCCTGACAGTCCTGTCCAACACTGCTGGTTACCACAAGGGCTCTGCTCTGCCCGTTATCTGCCATTATTTCCCAAAACACATCACCACACAAATCTCCGGTAGCCCTGGAAGCAAAGACTTGTTGCAGGAAAAGAAAGAACCTCCATCAGCGCTGAACAAAATTAAAGGAAAGCAGAACAGCCACAAATTGTGTTGGCGTTTCTCAGCAGCTCTGGGATTTCCTTCCCCTTCTTCTATGGAGATGAAAAAACAGTTCAGACTCTTCTCTGCCTGGTAGCTCCTAGAGCCGACCTACTCAAACAACCCACACACACGGTACAGGGAAGAGCCAGCACAGCCTGGCAATTAAACTTCAGCGAGGTAACACCACCCAATAAAAAACAACTGGGGAAAAAAAAAAAAGAGAAAGTAATGCTTTGCTTTTGCAAAAGAAGCTCAAAATAAAATGTGCACAAGCCCCTTTCCCCCCCAACTCTTTTTAAGTAAGAAAACCAGACAACTCATCAAACAGCACAGGGATTAATCACCACCTGGTATCTCTCTGTAAAAAGTCTGTTCAGACACGACTGAGAATTTGACAGCCCTCAGGGCTGATCTGTTCATATGAACGCCCAGGGAGCACTCCACGTCACGCTGACTTTCTCTAATTTCTTCTCCTAGTCTGTAATGAATAAAAGTGATGGGAGGGTGGCCCTACCTCGAATAAACTTGTTACGCACAGACAAACAAGAAGTACTCCTCGTGACCCTGACACTTCCAACAAGAGGGAAGAGTTTTCACACCCAAAGTATGTAATTTAACTCACTGTCACGTTTTCAGAGGTGATGTGCAGCTGAAACTGTGGGAACAAAGCAGGACCTGCCCTGTCCTTGTGATCAAAAAGAAAAAATGGCATGAGAGGGATACTATGTATTAAGGCTTTGGTTCAGGACTTTTTCCTGAAGAAAGAATGCACTTGAGCATGTGTTTCACTTTAATACTCTGCTTACATTCCCCCAAAGTCAACGGGACTTGAGTCCACACTGTGTTGACTGAAGTGAGACTTCAGCCCATGCTTGAATACCTTTCTGTTGCTGTCTGATGCAATCAACTTGCCGAGCATCCAAGATAAAGAGAGAGCCATTTCCAAGAGTGTAAAAGGAAATCGGAATATTTTTAGAGCATTGCACTCAAATACCTTTTACTGAACAATGCAGCTTTTTAAAAAATTAATAGCTGGAATATTTCTTCTTGCCCGTGATGGCCACAGGAAAGTCAGCATTAAAATCTTTGCAGATGTCTTCACAAATAGTTAATGTTGCTGCAAAAATTTCTCAACTAAGTTTAGGAAATACTTTGAATAAACTCAACTCATCTGGTTGCAGAGAAGGCTGAAAAGACGACAGCAGCTACAATACAACAGGTCTTTTTTCTAACCTGTTTGAACAGACTGTCGGAGATTTTTTCCAAAGCTGAGGCTGGGATGCAGTCTCTCAGAGCTGCCTCTTCTCTTGTGAAGGGTGTCTCCAAGAACACCCTGATCACACACAGCACAGAAAAATCTGAGCTCCTGTTTAGACTCCTAAATTCAGAGAGAAAAGATCTGCAGCCTAAGCCCACTTGTGTTTAAGCGGTGGGAAGACATAAATGAAATAGCAGTGTAGGACCCTAAATAACTCATTTGGTCTGGGCCCTTGGGACTCAAAGCCAGCAGATCTGGGGAGCATCTCTGCATTGCCTTCAGTAAGCTCTCATTTTTAAGCAACTTCTACTTCATTTGATTTGACTCTTCCTCTTGTCACCCCAGGCAGCGCACAAGACTTCACCCTTCTCCACTGAAAATGCCAGATTGCATACAGAAAAGAGGATGAAGGATCTCTTTGCAACAGGGTTTTGAGAAAAGTCTTTACCAAATGGTTCTTTCAGATAAGTTTGAACCAACATGTTCAAAGGTGAGTGTCTAACACCAGCTCTCAGAAACCCATAGAGCAGTCACTGAAAGGCTCTGAGACAACGAAGTTAATGAATTTCCAAATAACGGGCCGCCCCCCCAAAAGGCTGTTACACTTCCAAAGAGCATGGCGTGCTGTGTGAGCATATTGTGATGGACAAGACCGCTCAGGACAGATGTGGTCATGCTCTTCAAATGCCTCTCACCCACTTCACTACCACCTGTGCAGATGGTGCAGGACCCAGCTGCAGCAGGAGCAGACTCTGACCATGGGAGACTTCCAGGGAAAGCTCCAGTGAGGCCAGCATGGAAGGGGAAAATCCTCAAGTGAGGGACATGTGATGAGCTGCCCCATTTTGCCATAGAGGAAGAGGAGCCCATGGGCCTTGGGGCACAGGATTACACAGCTTGGAGGACCCAAATGCAACTGCCCTGCCCAGGCCCCATCCACATACCTTCTGCAGCTTGTCTGCCTTCTCATAGTACC